TCGTGAGTATATGCTCCCGTTTTTCCCTGAACTGTTCTTGTACTCAATCCCCACATCCCTGTTTGGATTACAAACTGCTGTAGAGACTTTAACCTTGCCTGGGGCTGGACTACAAGTATTTTGGGCCCTCTCCTTGTTATTTCTCCTACTTGAGTGACTGTCATTTGCCTTAATAAAGCTTGGTGTGTTTGCCATCTGCTTTGCGTGTTCTGTCCTGCCTACCCTCCGTCACAGATATGCACCTTGCTTTGCAGGGGTGAGAAAGCTGCTCTTCCTAATACAGGCGAAACTCAAAAAATTAGAATATTGTGCAAAAGTTCATTTATTTCAGTAATGCAACTTAAAAGGTGAAACTAATATATGAGATAGACTCATTACATGCAAAACAAGATAGTTCAAGGCGTGATTTGTCATAATTGTGATGATTATGGCTTACAGCTCATGAAAACCCCAAATCCAAAATCTCAGAAAATTAGAATATTACATGCAATCAATAAAACAAGGATTGTACATAGAACAATATCGGACCTCTGAAAAGTAGAAGCATGCATATGTACTCAGTACTTGGTTTGGGCCCCTTTTGCAGCAATTACTGCCTCAATGCGGCGTGGCATGGAAGCTATCGGCCTGTGGCACTGCTGAGGTGTTATGGAAGACCAGGATGCTTCAATAGCGGCCTTCAGCTCTTCTGCATTGTTCGGTCTCATGTCTCTCATCTTTCTCTTGGCAATGCCCCATAGATTCTCTATGGGGTTCAGGTCAGGCGAGTTTGCTGGCCAATCAAGCACAGTAATCCCACGGTCATTGAACCAGGTTTTGGTGCTTTTGGCAGTGTGGGCAGGTGCCAAGTCCTGCTGGAAAATGAAGTCAGCATCCCCATAAAGCTCGTCTGTGGAAGGAAGCATGAAGTGCTCCAAAATCTCCTGGTAGACGGCTGCGTTGACCCTGGACTTAATGAAGCACAGTGGACCAACACCAGCAGATGAAATGGCTCCCCAAATCAATACAGACTGTGGAAACTTCACATTGGACTTCAAGCATCTTGCAGTGTGTGCCTCTCCATTCTTCCTCCATACTCGGGGTCCTTGGTTTCCAAATGAGATGCAAACGTTGCTCTCATCAGAAAAGATGACTTTGGACCAATGAGCTACAGACCAGGTCTGTTTTTCTTTAGCCCAGGTAAGACACTTCTGACGTTGTTTGTTGTTCAGGAGCGGCTTGACAAGAGGAATACGACATTTGAAGCCCATGTCCAGGATCCGTCTGTGTGTGGTGGCCCTTGATGCACTGACTCCAGCCTCAGTCCACTCCTTGTAAAAGTTCCCAACACTTTTGAATGACCTTTTCCTGACAATCCTCTCCAGGCTGTGGTCATCCCTGCTGCTTGTGCACCTTTTTCTTCCACACTTTTCCCTTCCACATAACTTTCTATTAATGTGCTTTGATACGGCACTTTGGGAACATCCAACTTCTTTTACAATTACCTTTTGAGGCTTTCTCTCCTTATGGAGGGTGTCAATGATGGTTTTCTGCACAACTGTCAGGTCAGCAGTCTTTCCCATGATTGTGATTCCTACTGAACCAGACTGAGAGACCATTTAAAGGCTCAGGAACCCTTTGCAGGTGTTATGGCTTAATTAGCTGATTAGAGTGGGACACTTTGAGCCGAGAATATTGCACCTTTCACAATATTCTCATTTTCTGAGATTGTGGATTTGGGGTTTTCATGAGCTGTAGGCCATAATCATCACAGTTATGACAAATCACGGCTTGAACTATCTTGCTTTGCATGTAATGAGTCTATCTCATATATTAGTTTCACCTTTTAAGTTGCATTACTAAAATAAATGAACTTTTGCACGATATTCTAATTTTTTGAGTTTCACCTGTATATCTCCTTTCTTACATTCTTTGTGGTATTGTTCCCATTGGCGCTCTCCAGATTTTGAAACATGTGGCACATGGGGCACATGCCCCCCCCCCCCCAACCTGCTTCCCCTAGTTTTGACCCTACATACACTGAATGGCAAGTGGAAGCCACTAAGTGCCACTAAGTGCTGTGGAGAACAGTGATCATGCTGCCACACTGGCGTTTCAGCCTGCACCTACAGTGCCTTGAACAGGTATTCATACCCCTTGTAATTTTCCACATTTTGTCATGTTACAACCAAAAACGTAAATGTATTTTAGTGGGATTTTATGTGATAGACCAACACAAAGTGGCACATAATTGTGAAGTGGAAGGAAAATGAGAAATGTTTTTCAACATTTTTTACAAATAAATCTGTGAAAAGTGTGGCGGCATTTGTATTCAGCCCCCCGGAGTCAATACTTTGCAGGACCCCCTTTCTCTGCAATTACAACTGCAATTCCTTTTGGGGATGTCTCTACCAGCTTTGCACATCTAGAGAGGGACATTTCTGCCCATTCTTTGCAGAATCGCTCAAGCTCTGTCAGATTGGATGGAGAACGTCTGTGAGCAGCAATTTTCAAGCCTTACCACAGATTCTCAATTGGATTTAGGTCTGGACTGTGACTGGGCCATTATAACACATGAATATGCTTTGATCTAAACTGTTCCATTGTAGCTCTAGCTGGATGTTTCGGGTCGTTGTCCTGCTGGAAGGTGACCCTCCGCCCCGGTCTCAAGTCTTTTGTAGACTCTAACAGGTTTTCTTCTAAGATTGCCCTGTATTTGGCTCCATCCATCTTCCCATCAACTCTGACCAGCTTCCCTGTCCCTGCTGAAGAAAAGCAAACCCACAACATGATGCCACCATGTTTCATGGTGGGGATGGTGTGTTCAGGGTGATGTGCAGTGTTAGTTTTCTGCCACACATAGCATTTTGCTTTTAGGCCAAAAAGTTCAATTTTGGTCTCATCTGACCAGAGCACCTTCTTCCACGTTTGCTGTGTCCCCCACATGGCTTCTCGCAAACTGCAAACAGGATTTCCTATGGCTTTCTTTCAGCAATGGCTTTCTTCTTGCCACTCTTCCATAAAGGGCAGATTTGTGGAGTGCACGACTAATAGTTGTCCTGTGGACAGACTTAGCATGGGCCTGTTGGCTGCTTCTCTGATTAATGCTCTTTTGCAGGCCATAGACGGGCCGTTTATCGGCCGAATTGTCGGCCAATAAATGAAAAATCGGTCGGCCCCGTTGCCGATGCTGCCATCAATGTCCACGAAAAATGGCCGTTTTTTGTGTATTTTCCAGCATGACCGATACAAATAAACGGGAAGATCCGCAAAAAATGGGCGACGGGCTGGCCCCACTAATGGTGTGAATATCGGCCAATTTTTCTTGCGGACGAAAATTCGGCCGATAAACAACCCATCTATGGGCTGCATTTGTCTGACCTGTCAGTTTAGGTGGACGGCCATGTCTTGGTAAGTTTGCAGTTGTGCCATAGGGGTGATTTGGGGTGCAGGAATATTGATGTCCTGGGGTGTTGGGGGTGCAGGGATAGGGGGTGTTGGGGGTGCAGGGATAGGGATGATTTGGGGTGCAGGAATACGGGTGTTGGGGGTGCAGGGATAGAGGAGGTTTTGGGTGCAGGGATAGGGGTGATTTGGGGTGTAGGGATAGGGGTGTTGGGGGGTGCAGGGATAGGGATGATTTGGGGTGCAGGGATAGGGGTGATTTGGGGTGCAGGGATAGGGGTGTTGGGGGTGCAGGGATAGAGGTATTGGGGTGCAGGGATAGAGGTGTTGGGGGTGCAGGGATAGAGGTGATTTGGGGTGCAGGGATAGGGGTGATTTGGGGTGCAGGGATAGGGATGATTTTTGGGGTGCAGGGATAGGGGTGTTGGGGGTGCTGGGATAGGGGCGATTTGGGGTGCAGGGATAGGGGCGATTTGGGGGTGCAGGGATAGGGGTGTTGGGGGTGCAGGGATAGGGGTGATTCGGGGTGCAGGGATAGAGGTGTTGGGGGTGCAGGGATAGGGATGATGTGGGGTGCAGGAATAGGGGTGATTTGGGGTGCAGGGATAGGGGCGATTTGGGGTGTGTTCGGGGCATTAGGTGCTGCGCCCGCGGGTGCGGTGATGGAGGTTAGGGAAGATGGAAATGTGAGGTCCAGCAGTAGATGGCAGAGATGTGTCCTGCAATGACAGAGGGTACGGGGACAGGTGGGAGGGAACAGAGGCGGAGAGAAGAGGGCGGGGGGCGGGCACATGGGCGGGATCAGCTGGTGGAGTACAGTTCGCCGTTACTCCACCTATCCATGCTGCCGCTAAACCTGTGCCCGCCCCAACCAAGCCGACCAGCCTATGACAGCCGCTGAAAACGACAGACAGCTCCGCCTTCTCATCGGGAATCTCAAGATGCCGAAAATGAGGGCGGGGCCGGCAGCGGAAAGCGGACGTTACTAGTAAAAGCGTTCACTGCGCACGTGCGAGCCGGCGGCCATCTTTGTTCCCAGCACTCCTCTGTGGCCGCCATCTGCCGGAATTTGCGCAGGGCTCTTTCGGGATTATCTCTCGGCCTACGTACCGACACACTCTGTAGGGGGGCCCATCATCCTTCCTTTGTATTTATCATCACGCTTTTGGGCGCTGTATCCAGAGTGAGGCGCCATTGAGAAGGGCTGAGGGAAGCCATTTTCTTTCTGTGAGGAGATCTGATAAGGCGCCAGGAGCCCGGCAGACAGAATGATGAACAATCGGGGTGGCTTTCGGCAAGGTGGAGGGAAGAGAGGCGGAGGAGGTGGTGGTCGTGGCGGAGGAGGTGGTCGTGGCGGAGGAGGAGGAGGTGGTCGTGGAGGAGGAGGTGATGGTCGTGGCGGAGGAGGAGGTGGTCGTGGCGGAGGAGGTGGTCGTGGTGCAGGTGGTGGTCGTGACGGAGGAGGAAAATTTCAAAATGCGCCAATGACGCAAAACCAGAGCCCCAACGCAAGGGAACTGCCGCTGAGCTGCCCCAGGTGTAAATTCATATGTTCCTCTATACAGAACCTCAGAATTCATTTCAAGAATACCAACCATAAACCGCTGGACGACGGGATGAATACCAGGGCCAATCAGAGGGACGCCGATCCCGCGCCAGGCCTCGGAACCGTCCCCGATCACATCCGCAGATCCGTCTTCATCCTGAAGGATTACGTCCATCGGACGGACCGGGAGCCCATCGTCGGACTGGACTATGTCCTGGAATACAGGCTGCAGGACCAGGCGGGGAAGTCTGAAACCAAATATTTCTGTGAGATCTGCGAGATGGACAGCGACCTGATGACCATGATGGAGCACCTTGGATGCTACAGACACCGCAAGCTGTACCTGATGAAGGCCTACCCCTACGTACTCAAGGCCCCATCCAGCAGCAAGGAGGACCGAACGCAGTTCATGAGGAGGATGGCCATGGAGATCGAGAGAGAAGAGGGGACCAAGATGTACAAGAGCGACCCCACCGTCCGAATGGTACTGTGAGAGGAATGCACGCAGGGATCAGGGCTACTTCAGGACCCCCCGGTCACGGGTTCCTTATGTACATGGTCATACAAGATCAAACAGCAAAAATTCAACATCCCGGAGACATTGCTGCATAGTAACGAATGGCTGCATGCAGATATATGCCGTCATTGCATAAATTCCTTGTGGTCATCCAGGGATTTGCACATTTGTCCACATACAGCCATTCATTCTGTGCCCTGGGGACACTGCTGCAAAATGATGAATGGCTGTGTGAAGGTATATGCCATACTTGTGTATGTCCAGGGATTTACACATGTATGTCCTTTTCCCACATACAGCCATTCATTCTTTTCCTTGGTGACACCGCTGCAAAATGATGAATGGCTGTGTGAAGGTATTTGCCATACTTGTGTGATTCCCTTGTGTATGTCCAGGGATTTAGACACGTATGTCCTTTTCTCACATACAGCCATTCACTACTATTCAGATATATCTCCGGAGTGCGGAATTAAAGTGAAACTTCAATCCATTTCCCAAGTGCATCCACTTACTTGGGCACCAATATTATGGTGCATGCGTAGATGTGCCCATAGGCTCTGCCTGGCGGAGCACATTGAGCATGTGCAGATCATTTTCTATGCACACAGGTTTTGGACTTACCTGTTATTAGTCTGTGTGTGTGCACATGTATGCTGCAGGGCTTTCGGGTCCTGGCAGAGCCCGTCGGCACATTTGCGCACACGCAAGTGATTTTCTGTGCACACGCAAACTGAAGGTTTTAGAGTTCCCTGTTAGCAGTCTTTGCATGTGCATGGGAAGCTCTGAGCGAGCGGCTATGTGCTTTCTCAAGACCTAAGTCCTGCCGCATATCTGCGCAGGGGGTGGGGCTAAATTCTGATCTAGGCAAGTCATGCAAAACAATTACTTTTTTTTTTAAATGGTCATTTGTAAGAAAAATGGGAGGAGGCAGGACAGCCCAACATCACCATAAGGGTGAATGTCCGCTTTACTATTGTATGGCCTCATGCATTTATGGTTGTGTGTCCAATCTGGTGGTCTAAGACTGAACCTAGCAGAGGATAGATGCTGCAGAAGGGATCACACACATCACAACGCTGGTCGGTGCATCTACAATAAAATAAGAGAGTTTGCGGTGAGCAAGAATGGTGGCAATAGGGTTATTCAGGGGGTGGTGCAGGCGTGGTGACAAGCGGTATCTGTGATGGTGACATGAAGCAGGGAAGGGGTGCAGGCATGATGGTGACAAGTGGTATCTGTGATGGTGACAAGCTGTATCTATGATGGTGACATGGAGCAGGGAAGGGGGTGCAGGCATGATGGTGACAAGCGGTATCTGTGATGGTGACATGAAGCAGGGAAGGGGGTGCAGGCATGATGGTGACAAGCGGTATCTGTGATGGTGACATGAAGCAGGGAAGGGTGTTGCAGGCATGATGGTGACAAGTGGTATCTGTGATGGTGACAAGCTGTATCTATGATGGTGACATGGAGCAGGGAAGGGGGTGCAGGCATGATGGTGACAAGCATGATCTATGATGGTGACATGAAGCAGGGAAGGGGGTGCAGGCATGATGGTGACAAGCGGTATCTATGACGGTGACATGGAGCAGGGAAGGGGGTGCAGGCATGATGGTGACAAGCGGTACCTGTGATGGTGACATGAAGTAGGGAAGGGGGTGAAGGCATGATGGTGACATGAAGCAGGGAAGGGGGTGCAGGCATGATGGTGACGTGAAGCAGGGAAGGGAGTGCAGGCATGATGGTGACAAGCGTTATCTATGATGGTGACATGTAGGGGGTGCAGTCATGATGGTGACAAGCGGTATCTGTGATGGTGACATGAAGCAGCGAAGGGGGTGCAGGCATGATGGTGACAAGCGTGATCTTTGATGGTGACATGAAGCAGGGAAGGGGGTGCAGGCATGATGGTGACAAGCATGATCTTTGATGGTGACATGAAGCAGGGAAGGGGGGTACAGGCATGGTGGTGACAAGCGTGATCTTTGGTGACATGAAGCAGGGAAGGGGGTGCAGGCATGGTGGTGACAAGCGTGATCTTTGGTGACATGAAGCAGGAAAGGGGGTGCAGGCATTATGGTGACAAGTGTTATCTATGATGGTGACATGTAGGCGGTGCAGGCGTGATGGTGACAAGCGGTATCTGTGATGGTGACAAGGAGCAGCGAAGGGGGTGCAGGCATGATGGTGACAAGCGTGATCTATGATGGTGACATGAAGCAGGGAAGGGGGTGCAGGCATGATGGTGACATGAAGCAGGAAAGGGGGTGCAGGCATGATGGTGACATGAAGCAGGGAAGGGGGTGCAGGCATGATGGTGTGATATGATAGGGGGTGGTAGGCATTTTGGTTATGTAAATGGTTATGTCACCTCCCGTCAGCGGGTCTGAAAGTGTAAGCCCCCCAAGCTGGATGCACTCAAGTTCCCCAAACCCTGGTGCTTATCAGATGGAACAGAACCATGCTTCCACCTATGTTTGGAGACCTTGGCCATAACATCAAATGTACAAGTACAATGGACTCCTAAAGCCTACTTTAAAGACTTTTTTTTTCTAGGGCTGCAAGCTTGTGGGGGGGGGGGGGGGGGGACATGATGGCGTTTCAGACGCAGGAGTTATATCATCCAGTCTTAGCTAATGAAGTGGCTGAAGACTCCAGACCTAGAAGGGAAGGTTGGGAGAAGATGGAGGATCAGGAAATGGACATTGCACCTCTGGAAGGCTTTTTGGGGGTTTACTTTCGCTTTAATGCGTTCAGCAAGCAGAGAACTTATTACTACCCTAGGTAAAGGTTAAAGTTCGCGCTCTGCCTTTCACAGCATGATTCATGTTACACCCATATTTAGGGTTACCATGGTAACATTCCCTGCCTAATCTGAAGTTCTCCCCCACCCCTCATTTACCTGGATCGTACAGTACTTGTTCCCGCAGGCTTCTATTTAATTTTGAGTTTGGCCCATCTGAATGGAGAGACTACAAGGCCCATTTTCCACTGCAGCAGTTGGACTCAATGGAGCACAACTAGAGTGACATTACGACACTTGTAGTCCCTTGATACTTCCTCCAGCCCCATATTCAAAGGTCTCGGGCTGGAGGAATAGTCTGGAGGATCCTGTGAATTGCACCTGAGATCCACTGGTAATGTATGCAATGCCCTGCAGGCACGAACGAAAAAAAAAATTATAAACGCACATTTTTTATTTCTTTTTCAATATGGGTGCCTTTATTTAATATTTTCTTAAAAAGATGGAATATGCCTTCAGAGTTCACAGGGCACATGGAAGGAGTGCAGCACAGCCACGGTTAGGTACAGGACTGCAGTGTGGTACAGCCATGGTCAGTCGATAAGGATTACAATGCAGAAATGTTGTACAGCAAAGAGGAACTGCAGAAAAAAATATTTTTGGAGAACAGCAAAAGTCATAAATTACCACCAAAAATGTATGATGTTTTTTCACAACATTTCCGCACTTTTTTTTTTTTTTATAACTTTTTGAAGACCCTTTGTATTAAATGCTTGGATGGCTGCTAGTTACTGTAGAAATGTCAGTTTTATTCAGCCTGGATATTACAGTCAGTGTTACTGTTCCAGCACTGAAATCGACAGCTCCGGCTATAGCACAGTGTGGGGTCATGCCATTTTCTCTCCCCGTTTCCATCCACAAAACACCTTGTATTCTTTTCACAGAATACAAAACATTCTTTGAATGGACAATGTAAGAGGAGGGAAGGGTAAATGACAGGATCTCCCCCTCTCTTTACAGAAAGTCTTTTATTCTGTGAAAAGAAAGCTACACATTTTATTAATGGATTGAGGGAGAGTGGGAGCGTGAATCCCAGCACTGTGCTATAGCCAGAACTGTAAGTTCCAGTGCTGAAAGAAGAGTGCTGACTAGTATCCAGGCTGAAACAAAATATTACAGTAACCAGCAGCCATCTGAGTATTCCATACATATAGATAGTAATTTATATGGCTTTGGCTGTTTTCCCCCAATTTTTATTTCCTGGCATTACACTTTAAAGTGTTTACTAAACCCAAGACCCTGCATTCACTATATCTGGTCTCCCTGGACCCTGCATTCACTATATCCGGTCTCCCCCGGACCCCCTGCATTCACTATATCTGGTCTCCCCGGACCCTGCATTCACTATATCCGCTCTCCCTGGACCCTGCATTCACTATATCCGCTCTCCCTGGACCCTGCATTCACTATATCTGGTCTCCCCGGACCCTGCATTCACTATATCTGGTCTCCCCGGACCCTGCATTCACTATATCTGCTCTCCCCGGACCCTGCGTTCACTATATCTGCTCTCCCTGGACCCCGCATTCACTATATCCGGTCTCCCCGGACCCCGCATTCACTATATCCGGTCTCCCTGGACCCTGCATTCACTATATCCGGTCTCCCTGGACCCTGCATTCACTATATCCGGTCTCCCCGGACCCTGCATTCACTATATCTGGTCTTCCCGGACCCTGCATTCACTATATCCGGTCTCCCCGGACCCTGCATTCACTATATCCGCTCTCCCTGGACCCTGCATTCACTATATCTGGTCTCCCCGGACCCCTGCATTCACTATATCTGGTCTTCCCGGACCCTGCATTCACTATATCCGGTCTCCCCGGACCCTGCATTCACTATATCCGCTCTCCCTGGACCCTGCATTCACTATATCTGGTCTCCCCGGACCCTGCATTCACTATATCTGGTCTCCCCGGACCCTGCATTCACTATATCCGCTCTCCTTGGACCCTGCATTCACTATATCCGGTCTCCCCGGACCCTGCATTCACTATATCTGGTCTCCCCGGACCCTGCATTCACTATATCTGGTCTCCCCGGACCCTGCATTCACTATATCTGGTCTCCCCGGACCCTGCATTCACTATATCTGCTCTCCCAGGACCCTGCATTCACTATATCCGGTCTCCCCGGACCCCGCATTCACTATATCCGGTCTCCCCGGACCCCGCATTCACTATATCCGGTCTCCCCGGACCCCGCATTCACTATATCCGGTCTCCCCGGACCCTGCATTCACTATATCCGGTCTCCCTGGACCCTGCATTCACTATATCCGGTCTCCCCGGACCCTGCATTCACTATATCTGGTCTTCCCGGACCCTGCATTCACTATATCCGGTCTTCCCGGACCCTGCATTCACTATATCTGGTCTCCCAGGACCCTGCATTCACTATATCTGGTCTCCCCGGACCCTGCATTCATTATATCTGGTCTCCCCGGGTCCTGCATTCATTATATCCGGTCTCCCCGGACCCTGCATTCACTATATCCGCTCTTCCCGGACCCTGCATTCACTATATCTGGTCTCCCCGGACCCTGCATTCACTATTTCTGGTCTCCCACAGTACACAGAACATGAAATGCAATTATTTTAGTAAATATAAGCTGCTAAATACCTTTTCTCATCAGCAGTTAGAGCAGTCTTGTGACTTCTATCAGTATCCAGCAGATCAATGGGTAAAGCTTGTAGGAGTTTTCTCGAGGAGGATGCAGAACCCCTGACCTGTGTCTGGGCAGCACTTATTGGCCCTGTGCTGATCACATACTCTCCCACGAAAAAAAAAAACCCCTAGCAATACATGCCAAACTGAGCATGTGCATTGCTACAGTTCAGTCTGGAGGTAAGGTGGTTGCTTGAAAAAGGGGAGGAACTGAGAAGAAAGTATCAAACAGCATTTTTAAACAATGCAGAGGATTAACCCCTTAGTTTCCACAGTGAGTATAACAAGCATGCTTTACTGCATATACAGTACAGACTGATGTTACTGTTGTGGGTTTAGTAACACTTTAAATCCAGAAGTAGCAATCCAAGGTACATCGAAGGACAATTGGCAGGATTACAGGGTAGTAATATGGTACAGCAAATGGGTAAGTCCATAGATCTATTGTAGCAATATGGTGCAGCAGGGACAGTCCATTAGAATCACAGCGGCAGTAACACAGTACAGCAAGGACCTTATGGGGTGACAGACACTCACACTGGATGCTTCCATTGTTCCAGGGTGGTCTATCTCTGTCAGCGGGGTCCTTCCAGGGCATGACGGTGGAGCAGGTGAAGCATTTCCTGGGTCCTGGAGTGAAGTCCAGTGCGGCTCTACCACAGCCTAGGGTCTTCACAAGCAGCAGATGGTTCACAGGGAGGAAAAAAGCGGAGTCTTGGAGGTCCTCTACTAAAACTGGGGAGTGCAAAATCTGGTGCCGCTCTGCATAGAAGCCAATCGGCTACCAGGTTGTTTTGTCAAAACTTAATTGAACCAGGTGATTGGCTACCATGCACAATTGCACCAGATTTTGCACTCTCCAGGTTCAGTAAATCAACCCCTTGGTGTCCACTGCTGAAAAGGAAATGGAAGTCCCAGCAGTCCCAATCATAACATACTCAGATGCAGAACTTTATGTTCCAACAGTTCTAGTCTCAGTCCAGCAAGACCTTACAGCCACAGTTTCCTCCAAGTCTCTCACAGGAAAAACTTTTTCTCTGAGAACACGTTTGTTACATTGTTCCTGGAGGTCAGCAGATACCTGAGCCAAGAGTACCGGTGTCTGGGTGTATCCTGATACAACAAATCCTGGGCTGTCTGTCCAGAAGTCCCATCTCCAGTCCCCCTGTGTGAGCACAGAATTTCATTGATCGTACAATTTATTTGATATGCAAATGACTTCCCGTATTTACACAATAATTAGTTTTTATATAACATATCTTTATTATAGGTTATTGATTTCAAATGTTCTAATACTTCTGATCTACATTCCAGACACCAATGAAGTCAAAAAACACACAGCAATCCAAGCGAAAATCAAGGTGGGACTATGAAGGAGACAGACAAAAGAGGATGAAGAAAGCGCTGGAATATCTGGATTCGTTTGAGATTGATAATGACAGCGAAGCAACTACTGTCACAAGGCTCACAGAGAAGCTGATTGCTGAACTGAAGTATCACTCAGACAAGTTAAAAGAGGAGGCTCTCTTCCCAGCAAAAGTGGCCAAGGCAAAGAATATAGCTATGTCAATAATGCAGAAAGCTCCTAGACAGCAGAATCCAGGCCAGAAAAATCCAGGCCTTAAAGGAGCACCAGAAAACATCAAACAAAATATGGCTATGCCAGGTGGTCCTCAACCCACAAGTGACAGTCGGTACTGGCCTCCCAACCCTGCTTTTCCACAAAGGCCACATGGGATGGAAAACCCTCAAAATGCCAAGTTTAATTCAGAACCGCAGACTGGGCAAGTTCCTGAGGAAAGCAAGTTTTTCAAGAAATTGAAGTCCTTGCTTTCTGCCGTTCCACAGAATTCCACACAAGTGCCAGACGATGAACAGATGCATTCAAAATTAATGATGTTAAAAGCCTTGTTATCTGATAAGCGGGCAAGTTTACAGAACACACAGGGAAACCAGTTACCGCTGCAGGGTACCTCTATGATGCAGGACATGGCAGGAACAGAAAATGTATTTATGAATCAGCATAATGCGAATATGGGGCAGTTCGGTCAAAATGTAATGATGCAGATGGCCTCCATGGCACAAAATGCACCAGCCAATCAGAATTCACTAATGCAAATGGCGGCATTACTTCAAAACAGACAGATGAATGCATTTTTGCCTGAAAACCAGGACATTCAAAACCAAGAATATTTTCCTATGGATAATAGTTCTGGGATGCCGATGGACCAGAGCGCTTATCAGCAGCCGTATATGGAACAGCAACCTGGGTTTCCTAACATACCCCAAAGCCAAGAAGGTTTTGGCTATGATGATCCAATGGCAGGAAACTATGGGAACAATAATATGGGTCAGTACAATGACTTTACATCTGAGCAAGCCCCTTATACTAGGGTTTCTCTGTCCCCTAGTAAACAGAGATCAGAAGGTGAGAGGTTTCGAGGTAACAGTTATGATCGCGACTCAAGACAAGAATACAGATCACATGAGAGCAGATCCAGAGATGGTGGACGGAGTGGAAGGTCGCTTGATGAACCTGCATGGGCAGAAAGGGAGCGCAACATGCCTTACGGCAAGCGCACTAGACTGGGCAGTGATCATACGCCAAAAGAAAGCACAGACGGGAAGAAGCGCCGTTCTGATGATCGCGGCTCCCTAGATATGGGGGCAGGTAACTTGTCGGTAGATCTCCTGAAAAGGATTCGAGGAAAAGACTTGTTTACGGTTTCTGCAATTCTCAGTGAATATGCAGATGGTCAATAAACATTACAGATCAAAAAGTGGATCAGCATGAACTCTGGGCACTAAACAATGGGCGTGGTCATAATGTAGGGGAGGGTTTTTCTTTTTCTTTTTTTTTTTTTTTTTAAAGGAAAATGTTTTGTCTGTTTTAAAGGAAAATTTCAAGTAACATCTGTTTTTTGTTTTGTTTTTTTGAATGGAAAAAAAAAGGTAGAAGCAAGAAAAAAAAATGCTATGTTCTGTAATGTTACAGATCACTTTTTCGTGAAGAGCTTCCCTGTAATTAAAGTTAAAATTTAGTCTGCTTCTATTTTTCCTTTCTGTTTTCTAACAGATGTATATTTTCTTTTGTTTACTTCTGAATAAAAGGGTAAAGATTTAACCCCTTCTTGTCCGCCCTAATGTGCCTTTAAATGTTCTGAGTGCCCAGGGAGGATTGTGATCATGTGACTGAATCGCATGATTGGGAACCAGTCCCGCCGACTGCCAATCATTAGTCCGGACTCAGTGTTGTCTTTGATAGTTTGTTCTCTCTGGTGACACAGATGGTGTGTTGGCAATAAAACTCACCCTTTTATCACCACACCTGTTACACGTGTTAAAAAAAAAAAATCTTGTACCATCTGTATCTCCAGGCAAATTTTTTTTTTTTTGGATAGTGGGGAAGGGTTAGACCTTCTGTCAAGGTTTTTATTGCGAAGACCCATTAGAATCTTTACTTTATTCATACAGTTGTCCTTAGTCACCAAATAAAAAAATGATGGGAAATACAAACTTTTAGAATTGTCCCCTGATATTGGGGGGGCCACCTGTTTTTAGAGATGCATTCCACTAATGTTAGGCGATTTCCACTAACTTTCCGTTGCATCTTTGGGACAAGAAGTGAAGAGGACACAAAGAAATTCCTCAATGGTGCACAAACTGCAAAAAAAAAAAACAAAACTTTTTTTTTTTTTTTAAATTCTCTATCCAAAAAAAGATGCTTTGACTATATGTACGCTTCAAAGTGGTTGTAAAGGTATTTTTTTTAAGTAATAAACATGTCATACTTACCTGCTCTGTGTAATGTTTTTGCACATAGCAGCTCCGATCCTCCCCTTCTTAGGTCCCCGCTGGTGCTCCTAGCTCCTCCTGAGTGCCTCCATAGCAAGCTGCTTGCTATAGGGGCACTCGTGCAGGCTTGCTCTCGGGCCAAGATCTGTATGTCCATTGAAACACAGCTTGGCTCAGCTCTGTCCTGCCTCCCTCGCTCTCTCCTCACTGGCTGTGATTGGGCAGCAGCAGGAGCCAATGGCTTCTGCTGCCTCTATGTCCAGTGAGGAGCCGCTGCTCTTGGCCACACTACTGGATTGAGATCCTGCTCTGCTAACTTTAGGGGGGCTAGGGGGAGCTGAATACGATGTTTTTTTTCACCTTAATGCAGAGAATTCATTAAAGAGTAATTCCTCTTTAGTTGAGAAAGAAACATTCCCCTCTAGGGGATCTCTGTACATTGCAAGGATTTTAACAAACTTTGTTGCAGATTTCTACCTTTTGGTATTCTGAAAAAATAGCGGTTCGTCTGTGTCCGTGTGCAGAGTGAATCTGTATGGAAGTGATTTTATCATTCTCAATCAACTGTTGCACTTGCAGGGCTCTAATGAGGAAAGTGGCATTGACTGCATCCCTACAGACTTGATTTCCCTTTGGTAGTATCTCACCAAAAAGGACATTTTTTGTTGCAGGAAATCTCTGTACAGAACCTCCAGGTTGCCATATTACATTGCATTTGACAGAAAATGGCAGTGCTACAGATTGAAAAAGTACAGTAATTTTTTTTTAAACATTATATTACAATATGACTTGTGTATCAATTGTATAAGCTGTATATTTGGATAGGGGAATAGTACCCCTATAGAAATGACAGTAATAGGGGGAACTAACAAAGGTCCAATAGAGAAAACAAATCAAAATTGCTTTTGGCCAAGGGAATTCCAAACTACACCCTATACCAGTCTTTCTAAACCTTTTCAACGCATAGGAACCCTTGACATAACTTTCTGGTCTCGGAACCTTGCAAAGAATGACTTTATCTACAATTCATGATACATTAGTGTGATAGAGGTAAGAATGCTCCTTACACTTTTGATCATTGGGAAGAATTACCCCCTTACAGATAGCTAAAAAGATCAATGGTGTCAGTGGGAACTTACCTGAGAGGCAGAAATTGCTCTAGGAACCCCAGCAACCTTTGGAGGAACCCTGGTTGAGAAACCTTGCCCTATACTGTAAAATAAACATCAACCCTATGGCCATGTTACTCTTTAATGATTCAATTAAAACTTCATGTCCCACCCCTAAATATAACAATATATATGACACTCATTTTATATATCACCCTAGCATAACGATAAATCTAAACCAAAGATGAATACATACCCGAAGCAAAGTGTCACAGAACAAAGAGCAAAATAATGGGGCAATTGCCATCATCTTCCAAACGTCACTCAGGGTTCTCGCATTAATTTCCCAACAGATCTGGATAATCCTGTAGTTTAACCACTTGCCTATCGGGCACTTTCACCCCCTTCCTGCTTAGGCCAATTTTCAGCTTTCAGTGCTGTCGCACTTTGACTATTGTGCGGTCATGCAACACTGTACACATAAGAAATGTTTATCTTTTTTGAGACATAAAACTTTTTTTTTGGTGGTATCTAATCACCACTGGGTTTTTTGTTTTTTTTTGCTTAACGAGAAAAGACCAAAAATGTTAAAAAAAAAATGTTTTTTTCCTCAGTTTATGTAAAATATTTTTGCAGACAGGTAATTTTTCTCCGTCACTGATGGGTACTGATAGGCTGCACTGATGGGTACTGTTGAGGTGGCACTGATAAGCTGAACGGAAGGTCACTGATAAGCGTGGTAACAGGGCGCTGTGATTAGCCCTTTACCATGTCATGTGATCAGCTATGTCCGTCGGACACACAGCGATCACACAGTTCGCCGGGGGCTCGAGGGGCGTGGTTCTGGAGGACGTCATATGACGCCCTCCAAGAACTAGACGACTGCGCTGTAGCCGTCATTCGTCTATAGCCTGGTCGTCCAGTGGTTAAAGATCATCCCATGTATTCTGGTGAATCGAACCATCCAGACCTCATTAGTACAGAGCTTTATCTAGTCCTAGAATGGCGCCAAAGCCGATGTCTCGCTGGCGCTGCGCTTGTGTCCCGTGACGTCATCACATATGTCACTGTGCAATGATGTCACGACGCAACAGCATCATAATTTCACCACCATATTACTCTCAGTAGTGATAGCTACAGTTTTACAGGTGGAGGAAACAATCGTGTCATACTGCTACTCCTTACGAACTTAGAACAGATAAAAACAAGAAAAAAGAGGAAACAAAGGAATCACTAAAATGAAGAAAAAAGTGAAAGAAGGGGGGGGGGGATGGTCCATGGCAGATTGACCAAAAAGGTCACAGTACCGCCATCCAAATTTAAAACAAAGCAGTTACTCTAAAGACCAGGTCCCTCCAATATGGTGGTTGCGGCTCATCCGGGCCATATTTTACAAAGACAAAATCTCAATTCAATAACATATATACTGCAAAAAGATTTTGTATCCAAATAACCAAGTATATACAATTTCAATCCAACAATTAAATATAAAGTTAGGTCCATATATATTTGGACACACACAATTTTTTTTTTATTTTTTTTCAGGTATTTACCAAAACATATTCAAGCTATAATTATATAATGGATATTGGATGAAAGCACACACTCTCAGGTTTAATTTGAGGGTATGTACATCCATATTGGAGGAAGGGTTTAGGAATTACAGCTCTTAAGAGTAGCCATCCCCCTTTTTCAAGGGACCAAAAGTAATTGGACAATTGAATCAAAAGCTGTTTCATGGCCAGGTGTAGGCTACTCCATTATTTCTTGATCAATTTAGCAGGTAAAAGGTCTGGAGTTGATTCTAAGTGTGGTATTTGCATTTGGAATCTATTGCTGTGAACCTACATCATGCGTTTCAAGGAGCTGTCCACGCAAGTGAAACGGGCCATTTTAAAGCTGCAAAAATAAAACAAAGCCATCAGAGAGATAAGAGAGAATCGTTGCAAGAATATATAGCAATCATTCTAAAAGAAGGAAAGGATAGTTCACAATGCGTTAGCTGTAGACCTATATCTCTACTAAATACAGATACAAAACTATGCGAAGGTGCTAGCTATGAGGTTAATAGAGTTGATGCCGGAATGGATACATTCAGATCAAGTGGGTTTTGTCCCAGGAAAGTAAGGGAGGGATAATGGTTTAAGAACATTGCATCTTTTACAGAGGGCAAAGAGAGAAAAGTCATCAGCAATCATATTGTCGATCGACGCTGAAAAAGCTTTTGACAGGGTAGACTGGGGTTTCATGATAAATACCCTAAAGGTCTTGGGAATAGGCACTAAGATGATGAGTTGGATGAAAGAGCTCTATAACTGTCCATCAGTGGTTAAGGTAAATGGGTTCCTCTGTTTTTTTTAAGATGTATAACGGTACAAGACAGGGATGCCCATTATCCCCGTTATTTATTATTTCCCTGGAACCTTTGCTAGCAATGGTAAGAAAGATTGTAGATATTAGAGGAATTAAGATAGGTGAGCGAGAGCATAAGGTAGCGGCATATGCTGATGATATGCTGCTTTACCTTGCAAACCCTGGGTTAACTTTGCCTAACCTAATGGGATTACTAAAAGAGTACGAAGAGCTTTCAAATTTGAAAATAAACCCCTCAAAATCAGATCTTGAATATCAATGTTTTAAAGAAAGAGATGCAGACTCTACAAAAAGACTTCCATTTCCATGGAGGGAGAAGGAATTAGGTTACTTAGGAATAAAGTTGACCACTTCTATAAAATATATATACCGGGTAAATTATATCCCATTTATACAGTTGTGTTAATAGCAGTCAGACATCACTAACCTGATCAATCACTGTTTTGGTAGAAATGATATTTCTACATGGCAAATAATTTACTAGCA